TTATCAAGTCTGAACTAGTATTCTCGTCATGGTAAGGTGACAAATTAGCAATATTGAAAGTGAAAGATATTTCATAAGTGTCAGAAAGCTTTATCTTGTAGGTATTTTCCCTAATGCGTTAGAAAACTCTAAATGAATTATCTGCCTTAGGTTATAATTTGCCAAACTTCTTGGGAGGAAATCTCTCTTTCTACAAGTTAATCCACACCCAATCATATTATTTAAACTTCACATGTTTTCGATGCATGATTATTGCCCTTTTATATTTCTCATTTTTCTGTAAAATTTTATTCTGAATCTGTTCATGAAATATTTTGATACTTTTAGCTCTTTCTTTTACATCTTCATCAAAATGCTAGATAAAATAAAGTTGAATTAAAACTAAAGGACAGATTGCATTTTTACCAAGAACAATTTTAAAAGTGCTACAACCAATGGTTTGACTTGGTGAATGGTTGTAGGCAAACTCCACTTATAGTAAAACAAGTTCCCATTGTTTTAATTTTTTTCCTACGTAACTCCCCAAGAAAATTTTTAAGCTGTGATTGATAACTTCACTTCTCATTAGTTTGGGAATAATGAGAAGAACTATACTTGAGATTGGTGCCAAGCTTCCTTCAAAAAGTATGTAAAAAATGACTAAAAAACTTGGAATCTCGATTAGACACTATGGATCTAGAAACTCCATGTAGCCTCACAATTTCTCTGAAATATAGATCAACAACATGAAAAGCATCTATAGTTTTGGTATAAAGAGCGAAATGGGCTATTTCAAGTTTTGGCCATGACCACCATGATGGAATTCTTATAATGTTTCTCTATAGAGAATGCAACCAAACAATGTTTGTTGATCTCGATCTCATTTTCATGTTGCAACCATGATAACTTGTAAGGATGGGGATGTTCCATGTTTTTTTTGATCCAACTGTTGCACCAAGAAAGTGGATACCTCATTCTCAAAGCTGCCACAATTAATAATCACTTCACATATCTTATCATGAGCAATGCACTTAGTGTGAAATTTATTCATGTGCAATCAATCTTTTTTTTTTAACTCTCTTTTCATCTTCTCCCAAGTTGTAATTTTTTTCTTACCTTCTCTTTCCTTTTGCTTCTTTAGATTTTTCCACTAATAGGATGCATGTTTTCTAAGTTTGAAGACCACTAACTTCACCTTACGATGTTCAGGGGCAATATGGTATTCAAATATGCATTCCACCATGTGTAACCAATCTAAGAATTCTTTAGGTTGCATTTTCTCTTTGAACTCAAGAATCTCTATTTTCGGATTGAATATGTTAGGTTGAAGTTGGTTTCTGCGTAGATAGTCTCTGACTTACCGTGGGTGAGATAGAGTGCTATCATCAAAATTGTTATTGTTTCTATGATGTGGATTGGTTTTTCTTTCATCTTTTTCATTCCTCCTTTGTTGTCTCCTTATCTTCTCTATATCTTCTTGTATATGCAGCTAACGTTGTAACTGAAAGATTTATTGCCACATCTCTTTTATGAAGGCATCCTTGGGTTACCATTGGTAGTTATTGCAATGCCAATGTTGGCTTCAACCTCTTCTGCTGGTGCTTGATGACAATAACCTACCATAGCTTTGATACCAATTTGATATCGAGAATTGATGTTTGAGATATGAAGATTAACCACAAATAGAAAAACTCACAAAGAAGACAACTTACAAAAATTTGAATAATGTAGAATATGATTATTAGATTAAAAAGAATAAAAATTTACCACCAAAACTAGAAACTAAAAGATATAAAAATACCACCTTAAGAATTCTAATAAAAAATATAGAATAATAAAAGTTTATCACTCTAAGAAATTCAACGAAGAAATACAAAACTTGTAAAATAATCTAGAAGATTACCTAAGGATAAAGAAAACTTGATATTACCTTTTATCAAAAAATAATACAAAATATATAAGCTAGAAACATCCCTCCAAGCATGGAAACTTTCAGATTGTATTGTTAAAATCATGTCTAAAATTATAAAATTACTATTAATGATGTATATGACAAAAGCATGACATGAGAACAAAATAATTGCAAACCTAGGTATTTACAAAACAAAATTACAAACAAGATGTGCATGAAAATATTGAGAAAAATGAATCAAACACAAAATTTTTCAAACCTTAAAAGTATGTTCCACCATTTTTCTTCCTTAAAAACTAACCAAACAACCACCAAAAATTATCAAACAAACTATTAAATTGACACTTTTTCATTGAAATTTTAATTAAGCTCATTGAGAACTTAGTAAACATAGCGAAAACACAATCAAACACAGAATCAAACAATATTTAATGGAAATCATGAAAGCAAAAGCATTAGCCAAACAACCAAACATGCATCATTATCTCACCCAAACTCATGCGAATAACAAGTAAACTAGTAATCCAATCATCATATATATAATCTAAAGCAAGAAAACATTCAAAGAAAGAAGAGGTTCGGCCAAAGTAGGATAAGTCTTGACCAAACCTCTAGCTTGGATTCAATGGTGGATTTGAATTTTTTTTTTTGTTACTTGATTCTTTGATTTCAATGACAACTATGGTTTAGTTGGATGAACTTTAAACCAAGACTGAATAGAAAAGAAACTATAAACTTTCAAGAAAATAGAAAACCAATGTGAAAATGTTAGGAAAAATGTGATGAGAATGTAATGAAAATGCAAGAAAAGAAATTTTCTACCTTTCACCAAGCTTTCTTCAACTTTCCTTTTTTTTTGTCTTTTTTTCATTTTTTTCCTTTGGTTTTCTCTCTTCTGCTTTTGCATTTCCAGCATCTCCTCTTTCAATATGCAAAAACATGATTCTTCTTAGTGAAGATGGTAGAGAAATATTTCTTTAAAATTTAATTATAGCCATTAGATCACTTATTCATCCAAAGGTCCAAAATTCACCCTTGTTTTCGGTTTCAAAGAGCCAACTTTAGCTATTGGATCAAGATTCATAGTGTTATCTGATGGTTTTAATGGTTTATTGCAACGATTGAAATTTTATAGCCATTAAAACCGAGTGAAAATATCAGTTTGCCCTTAATATAAAGTTTTTGGTCTTTAAGTCATTTTCTTGGAAATCAACACTCTTGTATTCATTTTTAGAATTTTAAAGCACCAAAATTTATGAAATAAAATTTTGTAAAAATTTTACATTGAAAAGGTTAAATTACAAAATTACCCATAAGGGGTATTTTGATAATTTTACACCTCCTAAGGTACTACTGTAGTTTTTGAATGCACCAAAAATTATCAAATATTTTGAAAGCATGATCTGCAAAGTTTCACAAAAAATCGATCTCAAAAAAGTCAAATTACAAAATTACCCTTGAAGGGTATTTTTGTAATTTCAAACCTATCGTGGTATGATAAGGTTTTCAATATTCTAAAAATCATCAAATAACATTAAATCATGATTTGGAGCATTTCGCAAAATTTCAACCTCAAGAAGGTCAAATTACGAAAAAACCCATAAAGGGGTATTTTGATAATTTCACACCTCCCAAGGTGTGATCTGGGTTTTTAATGCGTAAAAAATCATAAAAATATATTCAATTATGATCTGAAAGTTTTAACAAAAATCAGACTTCGAGAAGGCCAAATTTTGAAGAGATCCTTAAGGTATTTTAGTAATTTTATACTTTTTGAAGTGCAATCAAACTTTTTAGTGCTTTAAAATCACAAATTTCAATCTTAATCCACATTGATTTTAACTTGGTTGTGAAATTTGAATGTTAGCCTGGGTTCTATCCATTTTGATTAAATTTGATCAATTTTAACTTTGTTTGACCAAAGTAGACTTTAGGGCATAAGTCAAATTGGTCTCAAATTTAATTTTAGAAACTTGTTAAAATCAAAGAAATATTGGATTTGAACCAAGTTGAATTTTAAGATTTTCACAAATGATCCAGATTTTACTTGAATAAAATTACGTGTCTACATAAATGGTATGAAATATTTTATGGAGATTTTTAAATCTCAAGGGAGTCGGCATATAGAGGAGATCTTGCATGCAGTATGGTAGTGGGTATTGGGTAACGTGAATGAGATGCTTGTAGTAAGCTTCACAGAGGAAGAAATATATAAGGCGACCAAGCAAATCCACCCAACGAAGGCACCAGGCCCAGATGGTATGCCGACAATTTTTTTCATAGATTTTGGCATGTTATTGGTAAAGATGTTACTAATTTCTGTTTAGCTGTGTTGGAAGGGGACAAGAGTTTGGATGACATAAATGAGACCCACATCATTCTCATTCCAAAAGTAGCGAACCCAAGGAAAATAACTCAGTATAGATCGATTAGTTTATATAATGTGCTTTATAAGATTGTTGCCAAAACTTTACCCAACACACTAAAAAATGTGCTACCATACTGCATTAGGGAGAACCAAAGTGCCTTTGTCCCGGGTAAACTGATTACGAGCAATATTATTGTTGCCTACGAACTTTTAAATGCACTACGACTTAGGAAGAATAGAAGGTGGGATGGGGGGCTCTAAAACTCGACAACATAAAGCGTATGACAAGGTGGAATGGGGTTTTATAGAAGCGGTAATAGGGAAGCTAGGTTTTAAATCAAGATGGCTATCCTTAATCGTGCACTGCGTACGAACTGTTAAATACAATGTTGTGATTAATGGAATTGTGACTGACACCTTTTATCTTGAAAGGGGACTTCGGCTGGGGGACCCTTTGTCACCTTATTTGTTTCTGATATGTATATAAGGTTTATCAGCTTTATTGGCTAAGGCCCAGAGGGATGGTCAAATGGGGGGGTAAGGGCTAGTGTCTTCGAACCCTGGATCACTCACCTTTTCTTCGCGGACAATAGCCTATTGTTTATTAAAGCAAACAAGGCTGAAGGCAAAATGGTGAGACACCTGCTAAAGGTTTATGAAGAATGATCGGGTCAGAAGATCAACTTTGATAAATTAGGTTTGTTCTTCAACAAGAACAGTAGTAGTACCCAACAAGAGTTAATGAAAGAGCTTTTCGGCATTCAGGTCACACAAAGTCCTGAAAAATATTTAGGGCTACCAATGCTTGCTGGCAAAGGAAAGGAAATAGCCTTTAGGGAGATTGTGGATAAAAGGCGGAAGAGGGTACAAAACTGGAGTCAAAGGTGGATTCTGATGGGGGAAAGAAGATATTTATCAAAGCAGAACTACAATCTGTTTTCTTGCATGCAATTTCATGCTGCTACTTGGCAAAAAGTTTAACTCATGAACTGAATATGGTTATGAGTAAATACTGGTGGAGTTGAGATAAAGAAGGGAAAGGGATACATTGGCTGGCTTGAAGGAAGCCGTGCAAAAGCAAGGACAAGAGATGGATTGCTTTAATAGGGCGTCACTTGCTAAACAGGGTTGGAGGTTGGTGCACAACACATCATCCCTAGCATATAAAGTGCTGAAGGAGAAATACTTCCCCAGAACATCATTCTTGGAAGTGGAAGTGGGCTAGGCACCCTCTTACATCTTGAAGAGCATTTGTATTGTCGAGAAATACTATGATCGGGGATAAGATTTAGGATAGGCAACGGGGAGAAAGTGACAATCTAGTCTAACCCATGGGTACCAGGGGATGGCAATTTTATTCCTATTCCAAAAGACCAAGTCAACTCAGATGAGGTTCGGGGCCATGAATTAATTAATGAAGTGAGCATGCAGTGGAACATGGCAAAACTGGAGCACCTATTTACACAAGAAATAGTGGATGATATTATGTCCATTCCTATCAGCAAGGTGGGGGGACAAGATAAGCTGGTCTAGCACTGCAACAAAAGTGGGAGATATAGTGTGCGGAGCAGGTACAGGTTGCTGGTCGCATCGTGGCCCCACGTCCAAGTCGAACATACAACCTGTGGAGAAAGGGAGCGCGTATGGAGGATGGGCATGTGGAAGAAATTGTGGCAGGCAAAACTACCAAACAAGTTGAGGATCTTTGCATGGCGTATTTGCCATAAGATCCTGCCCGTCTATGCCACACTTCAGAAACGTAAAATCCTTGAAATCGGAACCTGTCCAAGATGTGGACAATCTGATGAGATCGTTCTCCATGCAATAGTGTAATGTGTGCATGCAAGTGAGATATAGAGGGAAGCTCAGATTATTACACGGAGTTGAAATGGCAGGGTAGAATATAAAAGAGTGGATGGCAACAATTGCATTACAAGTGACAACAGGCAGGTGGGAAAAAATAATGATTATGGCTTGGCAATTTGGAATAACAGAAACGCAGCTGTGATCAATAACTCCCTAAGGACATACCAACAGATAGTCAGCTATACACTCAACTTTCTAGAAGAGTTCAGGCAAGCACAAGATAAGCATATGGCTAGAGTAGACAGGAATCAGGTAGAATAGAAGAAACTTAATGGAACATCCATAAAACTAAACTTTGATAGTGCTTACGATGCACGACGGCAAATCAGAGGACTAGGAGTGATTGCCAAAAATGGTTTCGGGGAAGAAATGGGGCTGTAAGCAAGCCGATTATTGGGTGTAAAGATGCCACTATGGTTAAATCATGGGCGGCGGCTGCAGCTGTTAACTTAGCAGCGGAGGTGGGCTTTCACAATATTGAACTGGAGGGTGATGCTTTCAATGTGATAACCCAAGTCATGCAAAGGGAGAAGAATTTGGCCCCAATTGGTATTATCATCGATGAGATTCAACTAAGGCTGAGTTCTTTTACAAGCTGGGCCTGTCAATATTTTAATCGAGATGCGAACAAAGTCTCCCACGAATTAGCTAGAATGGCACTGGATCATGTTGAGGATCATTACTGGGTAGAGGAAACTCCTTTGAATGTTTGTGTACTTGTTGAATCTGATAAGCTTCAAGTTTAAGTAATGAAAGTTTCATTTTTTTTCAAAAAAAAAGTTTATTTTGAATTAGAATTATTAGAATAATTTTAGTTTAAGTTTACTTTGGATGAGAAAAATATTTTAGGACATTTTTATAAGTTTAATTTTTAAATATCTTGATAATTTTAGATACAATATAAAAATAATATGAAAAAAAATGAAAATGACAGGATTTAAAATTTTGACATAATCAATATATGAATTTAATAAAAATTTAAAAAATTGTATTCGATGTGTCAATATAAATTAAAATATAATAATTTTTATATTTTACACTTATTTAACATGAAATAGATGACACTATATTCGTACACAAATTATCCATAATAGATTTAACTCGGGCTAGGGATAATACAAATATATATTCTAGGACCAGCAATTTAATGGAAGTTTTGTAGGTAATGGTAACCTATTACTAAAGTTGTAAGCTTTTTAAGCCAAAAAAGTGGAAATAAAAATGTGGTTAGCTGGGTCAATTTATTGCTAAAGGCTTAAGACTGCTTTGGCTAGACCATAGTTTAGGGTGGTGGCGAAAACCTGCATGTGGAAGAAAATGAAACTTGCTTGTGATTTAAGTTCTTAGCGTAGATCGACGGTGTTTTTCCATGCATAGTTGACGTTTATCAATAACTTTTTTTTTAGATTTCTTTTTTTTTAATTCAAAGTCTAGAGTTAGTAAGTACCTGGAAATTTTTTCTATGACAAGAAAATGAAATTCTTGGTGCTTCAAAATGTCTCTAACAACTTAATATAGTGTCCATTGCTTCATAAGTTAGGTGAAAGAAAATAAGTATAGAAGAAAGCTTTTTAATTAAGATTAAATAATTATAAAAGTATTTATAATTTATTGAAATGAATAAACTCTTAAATATTTATTTTTACTTTTTTTAAAATTAAGGACTTATAAAAATTAAAAAAAAAAAGTAGGAGTTTGTTTTATGATGCTGGGCAAAAGTATTCTCAAATTTTATTTGAATCTAATTTTTTATCAGGTGGATTTTAAAGACGCATTCCTTAGGTCTAGCCTATTTAGGAATTTTGTTCGTAAATTATTTTTCACAAGAATTAAACATTAGTTGATAAGTATGAGATCGTTGATAATAGTTTTCTTTAACATATAGTAGAATTAGTCCCCCACAGCTACACTATGGTGGGGTACATTAATTATTTTAATATAAAATAATTAAAATATTATAAAATATTAAAATTAAAAAATTATATTGTATTCCATGTGCTATATCTAAATTTTTTGTTATTTTTCATGTTATGTTATGGGTATTGTATTTTGTTAATTATTTAATCCAAATGTATGATTTTTTATTTTTTTGTAAATTAGAAAATTTTTTTATAAAAATATTTAGAACAAAAAAAAGAGTGACTTATTTTTTTATTTTTATATTTATATTTAAGTTATTATTATTATAATATTTTTATTATTTTATTTTATTTTAGATAATAAAAATAAAAAATAAAAACTCAAAACTTATAAAAAAAATACGGCCAATTACAATCTAACATCATACAAATACCACATTCATTTTTTTCAAATCTAGTTAAAGCACAATTACCATATCCCAATTCAATTAAAACCTAACACATTATAAGATACCAAACCCAAAAGCGCATTAAACTTTTTTTATCAATGAATAGCTATTTGACAAATAAAAAGCAACTTGGCATTGAGTTGCCCTTCAATTGGGAATTGTCCCCACTTGGAGACAACTTTTATCATATGTTATGTTATTGCTTAATTGACATGTGAAGAAAATATTAGTATTCTCACAATGTCCATCCAAAAACAATACCAATTACTCTTATATCTTAAAAGGGTCTTATTTAATTGGTTTATTTATTTTAATTAAATTTTGTTATTTAAAATATTAAAATTTTTTAGGTTTTCTGTAATATTTTGATAGAATTTTCAATAAATTCACTGACTTTAATAGCATTCAAAAAAGCTATTCATTTTTTCACTTTCATCATATTAATATAAAATTTTATATAAAAAGTTTATATTTATATTTATTTTTTATTTTACAAACATTTATTTTTGCTAAATATTTTATTTAAAATATGTAAAATTTTTTTATTGGAATACTTTCAAAATCTTTCCAACACTTTTCGTAAGATTCTAAGAAAATTCATCATATAGGAATTTCAAGTACCACTTGCAATTTTCTTTTAACTTCATAATTTTCATTTATTTCCATTTTTTTTTTCTAAATTCACATGATACAACATAAATATAATTATAACAAATTACAAATTTACTTATAAAAAATTACAAATTCACATTTTTTAGTCTTTTATGTTGTCAAATGATTAAAACATATTCCTTATCTAAAAATTTAAATATATATGAAAATAAACAAATCAACAAATCAATAAGAAAATCAATATATAAAAATTAAAAAAAAAAACAAGAAAATTAAAAACAAAAAATAAAACAAAAATATCAAAGTAAAATACAAAGAAAAAATTTATTGCCATGTGTCCAAAGCAAAGAAAAAGTATCAAAAAGTTCTTTCTACAAATTAGCCCAACCAATTTATTTCATACCTTGGTTAACTCTCTAATCAATTTTTATGACATTTTAAATGTCTTTGAAATTAAAGATACTCACATTTTAGGATAACTTTAATATATTGGATAGATTTGTGAAAAACAAAATCAAATAAATGAGTAAAGTTTGATGAACTTAAAGACAACTTAAATTCCCAAATTTGTAAAAAAATGACTCTCATATATATTGATGATAAAGATACAAGTTTGTGGATTTAAAAGGTTCCATTTAAAAATAGTATTAATTTATTAATTATAACCTACTAAAAGATAAAAAAGCAATAATAATTATATAAATCCACTTACAAAATTTAAAAATTTCACAATAGATGATGTAAAGGATAATTTCTTGTAAGTTTATTATAACATCTTTTAACATAAAGTTTTCAATTTAGTTTGTAAACTAGAAATTAAAATTTTGAAAAGAACATGCTCTTCCCATATTTGATTAAGGAATAGGGGCTTTTGTTCCGCTTAAAAGCAATTACTTTTTGCCTTATGAGAAATTGGATAAGTGAAGAGGATAATAGAAGTTTTTGCTTTTAGGATAATGTAAAGTTTTTTTTTTTTTTTTGGAAAAAAATGTAAAAAACTAATATGCTATTTTACATGTCAATTGCTAGAATTTAAAACTTTATTTGGAGATTATATTAACTCAAAATCTCTTAATGTAAAATTCAAAATTTATCTCAATTGATTCAAAAGAAGTGATATTTAATAAAATTTAGGTTCAAATTTTAGCATCTGCAATCTTTTTATTTATCTTCATACTGCGACCTTCTTTATATAAAACAAAATTCTTTCCATGAAAAAATATGCTTAAAATTATGTCCATCAAAATGTAGGATGTTCCCAGTAATCAATTAGTTGATTAGTATATCATTTATTCTTGTAAAAGAAATATCCTCAAGAAAAAAGTTAGAAGGTATCGAACAAATTGTGTCAACTTGTAGAGGTGTCATAACGTATTTGTTCGAAAACTTGATCGTTAGACATAAACATTTTGGAAATCGAGAAAACGAGGAATCGCCATGAATATTTTTTCTTTTGGTGTGATTGGCCACCTAAAAATTTTATCTTTTCAATAATTAAAAAAAGAATTTAAAGTTTATCAAAAAGATATTTTTAGGTCTTTGAAAACAGACTTGAGTTTTAGAGTTTGGTTATGTGCGATAAAAGACTAGCACCTCCACAATGCCTGATCAAAAATAGTACCAATTAATCATATGCCATCTTTAGGTTTTGGATAAAATTGGTTTCAATATAAAATTTAATATTAATTCCCTTCATTCATTTTTTTTGAAAAAGAAAATCAATTTTATTAAAAATCTTTATTTAGGAGTATTATGAAAATCTTTAAGTTAAAGAATTACCTTAAAATTGTCAAACATCTAGGCAGAATTGTAAAAATGACTCTTTCCACGTAAGATTCGCCATGACATTCCTTAAAGATGAAAATAACATTCTTTGCAAATGATAATTGTTGATGACTCTCTAACATCTAGGCAGAGTATCAAGAATTATTTTTCTCAAAATGTTATTTTAGTTTTATTTGAAAATTCATATTTTTGAATAACATTTTCCATAAAAAGTTTATGCAGAAAAATGATGGTATTGTAACTAACAAAAATCAACAATGATAATCGAAGGACATAAATATGTAAAATGAATGCAAACCATGATCTAAAGATGAATACATGTAAATGGATGCTATGCATGATAATGAGATGTGATTTTAGGATTGGGTCTTTAAATATAAAGAGATCACCCAGACTCTCAAACTTCTAGACAAAGTTTAGGTATGACCATTTATACTTAAGATCCTATATTTATTTTTTGCTATTTTGTTTAATCTTATTATTATTATTTTGAGTTAAAGAATCATATGAAAAACATAATGAAATAAAATTTTCTAAATATCCCAGGTGGCATTCATAACTAGATTACTTCATAGAAGATTTTCATACAAATCCTTATAATGTTAGGATGGTTTTGAGTGTTTTGGTGATTTTTGGTTTGAAACAAATTTAGGGTTTATGGTTAGGGTTTTAAGGTTTTATCTAAAGTTCTGGGGATTCTCCTAGGGTTTTAGAGTTTTACATTAGGTTTTGGAATTTCAAGATTTTAGGGTTTTAAGGTTTTAGGGTTTTAAAATTTTAGGGTATTAAGATTCTAGGGTTTCGAGGTTTTAAGATTTCAAGGTTTTGAGATTTTAGGATTTTAGGGTTTCAGGGTTTTAGAATTTTAAGATTTTAGGGTTTCAGGGTTTTAGGGTTTTAGGATTTTAAGATTTTAGGATTTCAAGGTTTTAGGGTTTTAAAATTTTGGGTTTTCAAGGTTTTAGGATTTTAGTGTTTAGGGTTTAAGGTTTTAGGCTTCCAGAGTTTAGGGTTTTAAGGTTTTAAAAGATTCAAGGTTTA